CAGTGGATTTTGATGAAAAGGGTCTCTAATTAAATGAAACTTGTGCACTGGATATAAAACCAGAATAGATTCTATACAAGCAAATTCACTTTAATAAAAAAACCCTGTACCTATAACTAAAAGTTATAACTGTCATATAAACTATTTATAGATTTAGAAGAAGCAGACTGTTGAAAGGGACAGTTATATTGATCATCCTGATCGTGTAAGTAGTGTAACTGCTACACTAATAGAAATTTGAAAAATATCCATGAGTCCTCCATATAAATACAATTTATGGAAAATGCTCATATGCATTTTATAAAAATATATCCTCACGTCAATAGGAATTATCCAGCATTATCTATGTCCAGTTTATGAACATTTTTGAAGTTTTTACGAAGGCCAGTTCACTACTACTACTTTTGTTTCCGAATGAGAAAATTTCATGCAGTTTCACTTATTCTCATAACATTTTCAGCCAATTTTGTTAGCACCTTGCAGCAATGAACAGCTGATTAGAATGTAATAGTGAAGGGAAGGGAAGTTCAAGAGACTACAGTGGAGAGGGTGTTGGTGAAGGGTGAAAAAGAGTGACAGAGAGAATTTCAATTCAATGCAGTACTGAAGGAGTGCTACCCGGTTGGAGATAGTGGGGTAGAAATTCATCTCAAGTAGTAGCAAAATTGGATAAGCTGTCTGTTCTACAAAGCACCTGATAATAGGTTCCATTGCAGTTAATACATTTAATTATCATCTGTGTGCAACAGACAATTGCCTGGGATGATTAGCTATCCCATCACCCTTCACATGACATTAAACCAAGATACCAACTCTGCTTTTTATGGATATAAAAGATTGCATGGCAACAAGTGCAAGGGAAAGTTCACCTGGCATCCTGGCCAATAATCACATTTCAACCAATGCTGCTAAAACAAATTAATTGGTGATTATTTCATTACTGTTTATGGGACCTTGCCATGAACAAATTCAATGTCATGTTTGATTACATGGCTGCACTGACTTTACATCAAAGGTACTTTGTGAAGCATGTAGACATCACAAAAATAGAAATTGAGTTCTTTTTCTCTTCTTTCAATTATATTGGAGCAGATTTTGATGTATGAAGACCTCTAACATATGATATTAGTTGAACTGGTCTTTGCATTCTTCAGCTCAGAGAATGTTTGCCCACTAAGTTGCTGGAGGTATGAGCTGGAAACATTACAGTGTGTTAAACAGGCTGTCCAGAGCCTAAGTACAGCTGGATATCTCCTTAACCAACTGAAGGATTGAAAAATAAACAGTGATCAGATGTATCTACTGTGTAAACCACAGCAACTTCACAACATTCAATGGATTTCAACGGTGAGCAAAAATTCTTCCTTTGAGAGCTAGTAGTGTAATGGTAAAACCTGGACAGCTACCTTTGGATTTTGAGATTTAACCATGCATTCCCATTCACTGAAAGTTGCTGTAACATTTTGGCACAAGTAATGGTGAGTGTTATTAGCGTTAGTATCGTTTTGACACCAAATCTGCCTGACAGATAGAGAATTAAGAATGGCAAAAAATAGTGTTACTGATATCTTGTCATTAAAATAATTTCTGTCCCCATAGTACTCACAATGAGCAGTACCTAGCCTTGTTTATATTGATGGCATAAATCTTTGAGGTGCTGTTAAACAGCTATCATACATAAGGAAATCAACAGATTAGTCTTAAAATGTCCTTTCCAACCGATCAGCTGTTAATACCAGAGAATTAAATTTTAAAGTTGGACTTTATTCATTAAAGATTTGAGAAAAAAACCCCTCAGATTTCATGAGTTGAATCCTAATGCATTGTACTCAAGATTTTAATAATGTTATCCTCCAATATCAACAGCTTACCAGACATTATAGTGAATTTAATGCCTTTTTAATATATATAATTGATTTAAAAAATTATTGTTTTGACTCAACTTTTAATTTATAGAAATTCTAAGTCTGATATTGATGGGAATCCACTGTCTTCTTTCAGTCAGTCAGATGTCTTTCCTTACTCATATAAACGTTTTTAAAACAACCAATATTAAAACAAAGAAAAGTACAACATAGTAACAATGAACAAGTATCACAAAGGAGTGAAGAGGAGAAGAAGGGCCAGGAATTCAGAGAAAGGGCAAGGTTGCACAGAGGAGCCAACAGGGGTGGTCAGGAAGGGGATAGTTAGGAACATGGGGTTATAGGAACATGGCAAGCAGGCATTGAGGAGCTTCAAGAGTCAGCGAGCAGTAGAAAGTCAGTGAAGGGTGAATAGTTGGGAGGTGGGTAGGAGTCAAAGGAGAGGGCAGCAAATACAGGGGGCAGGAAGTCAGGGAGTGGTGCAGTGTGTCAGTGAAGGTATTAGTGAGACATGGCTGGGATGCAGCACGCAGTCAGAGATGGGGTGGGCAGTGAGATTTGGGCTGGAAATATCAAATGATTGCAAAGTGCTGGACAGAGTGGGAAATCTCAGAGATGTTAGGCAGTCAGCAGGGGCACTGGATGTCAGAGAGGGGAGAAGGAGAGAGAGAGTGGTTAGGTTGACAGAGAAGCGTTAGTGAGTCAGAGCGGGACTTGGGGTCAGAGGTGTTAGGAAGTCAGTGGGTTTGGAATTGGGGCTGGAGTTAGATGCTGGGGTCTCAGTTAGTGGTGGAGTCAGGGCAGAATCAGACATTGAATTTGAGGAGGGTTGGAGAGAGGGGCAGATTCTGATACTGGAGTCTTATTAAGAGGTGTGGTGACTCAGACATCAAGTAGGGTCAGGAATTAAAGACGGTTTGGGTCTCAAAGAGAATCAGACAGGCACTGAGAAATGCACAGGCCAGTTCTAATTCTGATAGCAGAAAAGTAAAATGATCAGAAATACAAAGCAGCTTCTTCAGCACCCAAAAGAAAATGTTTAATGGTGCAAGTTTGGATCTGTGTCAGAACTGAATTCAGACCCAATGAATGGCCATGCTTAAAATATTAGCTTCCCCAGATCCTATGTATATCCAGCACTTTAAGGTGAGAATTCCTAATTTCACATGTCATAGTTTCTTGTTTCATCCCTTATAAAGTTTCCTTGACTGTGACCTGAGCTAACAGAATGAAACAAGAAGAACTGAATGTAAATTCTGGAATATAAGCACAACATTGCTATCACATTCTTAAAACAGACTTTATCACACTCTTAGTTATATATCCAATACCTTTCAAAATGACTCCTGCATGGTCTGCACACTGTTCAACTTTAGTGGCCATCTTATTCAGTTCTACAGCTAATCTCAGATATTTTACTCATAAAAATGACCCAGTGGGAAGGTTGATATACCCAAGGGGAACAGGGGTATCAGGTCTAAAATTTGAAGCATCGGACAATAACAACGGTATTGTATTGTGAGCAAAAACAGAAATTGCTGGAGAAACTCAGCAGGTTTCTCCAGAATTTTCTGTTTTAGTTTCAGATTTCCAGCATCCGCAGTTCTTTGTCTTTTTGTTTAGTACTGTACTGGGCATGCACAAAAATCTACAATGAATGATAACTCGAAAAATCTGACTTTCAGATGGTACGTAGTTGCTAATTGAGTTTTGATACCATAGAATCCCTACAGTGTCGAAACCCATCAAGTCACACTGACCATCCGAAGAGCATCCCGCCCAGACTCGTCCTTACTTTGTCCCTGTAACCCTGCATTCCCCATGGATAACCCACCTAGCCTGCACATCCCTAGACACTAGTGGGAGGAAACCGGAGCACACAGACACGGGGAAAATGCGAAAACTCCACACAAACAGTTGCCGGATAGTGGAATTGAGCCTGGGTTCCTGGTGCTGCGAGGCAGCAGTGCTAACTGCTGAGCTACTGTGCTGCCTAATTCCAATCCCTGGACTGACCTATCCCCTTCCTAACTCTCTACCTACACTCACCTTTCCTGGCCCCATCCCCGCCTCTTCGACCTGTTTGTTTCCTCTCCTCTATCCCCCTCCCACTCTCTCCCTATTTATTTCAAAACCCCCTTCCCCTCCCCCTTTTCTGATGAAGGGTCTAGGCCCGAAACGTCAGCCTCTCTGCTCCTATGATGCTGCTTGGCCTGCTGTGTTCATCCAGCCCTGCACCTTGTTGTCTCCAATTTAGTAGAGGTGGCTTGTCAGGTGAGAAAGAATTGCACCTATGAGTGAGTAAAATGAATCAAATACAATGAGTCTGATTCCATGGTAATACGCTGTCTACATTAGGCATTTGTGGGTTTGCTTCCCCTCTGAAGAAAATTACCAATAACCTAGTCCTGATGCAATTGGTTCTTAAAATCTGCATTAGCCTGCCAAAAATAATAATGAAGTGTATTGTTCTATGGTGATGATTTGAGAGCACAGTGCAACCAAAACTTCCAGCAGACTTTGACACTTTTGATACCTAGCCTATGCATTTAGGAATGATTTCAAAGAATCTAAGAAACATAAGTTAAAAACTTTATGTATTATATCAATGTATTAGCATCAATATATTCAATGCACCAGCTATGGACAGTTTCAACTGAATTAGTAACCATGTTTAGAATACCGGAGGATTTGTTACAGATAATCTTGGGGGGAAAATTGGATTTAAAGAAATAGGAATCAAACCATTTCTGCTTGGACTGAGCAATTCATAGCCTATAAAATTGCAGCCAAGGAATGAGATCATTACATCATTTAAATTCTAAATACGTTGAAAGCAGATTACCAAGCAATTTGAATTTATGCTGTTTAGTCCATGTGGTTTTTCCAGAGTTGCAGTCTCTGACCACAGAAGTTGATTGAGTAGTGCTCCCAACTAAATTATAATTCAATAGTTACTCATTACAACATTAGAGTCAATTAGTATATAACCTTTTGGGAAATAAACTATAAGTAAAAGAAAAATAAAAATAATTAGCATGCAACATGCCATACAGTAATGTTACCAATAAAAGAGACAATAGCATTCATTGCATTCAACAAAACTGTTGAATTTAGCAACAAAGTACTCTTTACCTTGTGGTCCCCCATGCAAACATTTGGTCCAATGTTGTCATAGATAACTGACTTCTCATCATTTTCTGCCTGTAAAACAGAGATCACTTTCTTTAGAGACAGAGTGGCTATTCACAGCAAAGATCTTTTCACAATTGCTCTGCTGCAAAGGCAAATATTTAGAGGCAGTGAGAAAGCAATCTACAAGAGTTTTAACAAACAAGTAGAGCTGGAAGGCCACCCCTGCATAGATTTGTTAAAACTGTTCAGAATGTCAGTGAACCATTTGCTCCAGCAATTACAAATCAAAACCAATATACTGTATGGGGGTGGGGAAAGGTAGCAGAGAGAAGACCATCATTCTCAAAGTGGGTGAATAAAGTTGCTGAACAATAATTAGACCTCCGAGATGGTCTTTGTGTTATTACTATGTGGCAGTTTCTAATATTGATAATTTTGTTATTACTGGCACCTTCAAACAAGGCAAGTTTTCCCATATAACAGTTTGATTATTTTACACTCGACTCAAGTACTCAGGGTAGTTGCCACAGTTGTTGAAAGACTGTATTAGTCGTCATTAAGACATAATCATTAAAGGTTTTGTATTAATCTGCACTCAAAGCCACAGAGAATAAGCAGATGACTGAGTAATAAACATTGGTTTTGAAAGCATTTATGGCTTCAAGTAGTTTAAGGCATCAGTTTGTTTCTACTTAAGAGCCAGTCTTTATTTTAGTTAGTAACCAACTGTGTATTTCAAAAGAAGTTGAACTTAAGATTAGTTCTGGTGGAGAGTGTCCTACTTATGTTGAATTTTTATTCATACGAAGAGCCTTAATTTCTGTGTCATTTGTGGATAATCGCAGTTATCTAATTATATCAATCTGATTTTTGAGGGCAATGATTTTTCTGTCGTTCATTCTACAGCGTGTTATTAACACCTGCACTTGAAAGTTTCGATTCTTAGCATTTGTAACTTTGCATCACAATTATTTGATAGCCTAATTCCCTTAATTCTGTTTTGTCCCATTAATAGGAGAACAGGATTTCTATTTTGTGCTGTGCCGTGTGAAAGGGCAGAAGAGTGGGTCAGGGTTAAATACACATTTATGTGGTGTCTCCAGGACTGCCATCAGCACTCTGCGTCCTCTGCACTGTTGCATGAGCTTCAACCTGATGAAGTTACTATGACAACCCTGAATAGGGCCCAGTGGAGGGTCTTCACAATTTTTTTTTAATAAGTTGCAAGAAGTTTTACTGTGTAATACTCCTGTCTCTGACAAGGCCAAATTCTGAATGACATTTAGAGAACTGCTTTGTGAAGAAAGAGTTTTGGGATTGGACAGGCAATGTTTCTCGCAGACCTATGAATGCCTAGTGAAATTTATGACCAGACAAAAGAAAGTAAGTGAGACCAATTGCTAAGTGTCTTAATACTAGGAATAGAGTTACCTTTCAAAGTGAGACACTATTAAAGTTTACTGTTTAAACTAACATTAATGAGACTTGAAAGGTCAGTTTTACATCTGATATAAAGTATGGGAAATTTTCACTGATGTTTTTGGTCTAAAATGCACTGAAAGCTTCTGCAAGGATATCTGAATGGTAGATCATCTGCTTCTGGGGACGAACTGAATGGTTTTGGATGAATGAGAATCAGGTTCCTATTATGGTCTTATTCCTGACGTAATATGAGTGGTAACCTTTTCCATGAGTTTTCTCTGCAAGCTATTTTCATTTGTTTAAAAATGCTGAAACATTTTTCATTTGATAAAATAATGATGGGTTTGCAAAAGGGAAACACAATTTGAATAGAGGGATCAGCAAAATGAATCAGCTGACCCTGATCAATCTGTAATAATACACAGAATCTCAGTGAGACCTTGCTGCAGAGCCAGTACAAGAGCAAAGCCGCGTCTTTATGGGTTGGCTCCGAATCAACCTGATAATGCTGGGACCAGCGATAGGCCTTCCCCTGAGATCATGAGCCAGGGTGTGGAAGTCTCAACAACTGCCAGTCAGTCCATCAGAGGCTGGTAAGTCTGCTGCTCAGCAGAACAACAGACAGGTTCTGGAATCCCAGGGTCACACAGTGACATGGGCCACAGGTAAATAATGTCGAGATGGGTTCCCTGGCTCGTGAATCACGGGACAGGGGTATGGGGGTTGGGGTGGGGGTGGTGGCAGCAGACTGAGGATGGGTTTCAGCCTAAGTGCCTTTCACACTGTGATCGATTGAGGGACATCCCCCTCGAGCAAACAAACCTCATCTCCCCACCAGCTCCCACCCTGGAAACCATCAAGCTGGTTACATTGTTGGAACTACTGTGCACACCATGTGGTGACAGGCCTTTTGACACCGATGGCAGGATGAGGCTCTTAAATGGTCATTAATTAGTGATGTGGATGACTTTTAACTCTGAAATAGTCTAAAAATACATTTTTTTTCAAAAAGAACTGCCTACTTAAGAGCCTCATTTGGAGGTGAAGCAGAGAGAATGACCATGTGCCTTCTGCCCAGAACTGAATTCTGGCAGAGGGAGAAATGTGGTTGGGTTCAGCTATGCCATCATCCAGCCAGATAAAACATCCTTCCCAGCTCCAAGCTCAGCACCATGGAAAGCAGAAGATTCTGCTAATTGTCCTTCAAAACTTCTCAAGTAGTTAATGAATAATTGGCAGATACGGTTAAAAGTTTATGAAACTAACAACGGAGTGCACTGTACTTTTCAGACATGACTGAGGTACAAGGATATAAAGTTCACTTCTTACTGTCTAAATGAACTATAGAATGGAGAAGCTCCCCTAAAAAAAGGCAAGCTATGTGGATATATATCTCAGACCGTACGTACTTGGCACCTCATACTCAAAGTTCTAGTAGGAGTTTTTGAAGACATGTGTCAACATGAATGAAGGTTGTAGTTTTTTATGAGATACAGAAAAGTCTCACTCCCACCTATTAGCAAGTTAAACAAATCAATATTCTGTTCAGTTATGGAAATATAGGAATCACCCATGAACTGGAACTCCATACCTGCATGATGCTGATCTCTGAGAAATCAACTGAGGGCGATCAGGCAGGCAGTCCCATTTTACAAATGATGATTGCTGTATAAATGGTGGCTTGAACACTGGGATATCTCCAATCTATTATTCAAGAAGGTATCATCCACTTGAAGAGGTGGATGTGGGGTTTTGATTTAAGAATGTGCCAGCCAAGATTATGCACTCAAATGCTGGGCTAGACTTAGGTCAAGCATAGGAGAGGGATTTGAACTGTAAAGACAAAGGTCCTCGCAAATGAGCCATGCAGACGCTTGAACTGATGGAAAAATAACAGGCAAACTGAATGTTCTGAAGAAGGGTCACTGCACCCAAAACGTTAACTCTGCTTTCCCTCCACAGATGCTGCCAGACCTGCTGAATTTTTCCAGCAATTTGTGTTTTTGTTTCTGACTTCCAGCACATCTCGTTCTTTGGTTTTTTTTGTTTAATGATATTATTTAAGTTAGCTTAGAATAAAATCATCGCACTTTCACTGTATTACTTTTCTTTGGAAAGCATGCACAAATATTTATCCTTTGTGAATTAAATATATCACAGGGTTAGACACAGTTGCATGACCTGTGATACCTTGCATCTCAGAAGTTGGCACACAAGCAAATCTACCCGAGGTTTAATGATCACAAGATTTCTTATTTGCTGGAAAGTACAGGGTGCTCCCTCCTGGGCAGAATCTGGAACCAGTGGTCATTATTTAAAAATAAGGAGTCGCCGATTTAAGAAAGAGATGAGGAAACAGTTTTTTTTACTTAGAAGGTTGTGAGTCTTTTGAATTCCCTTCCTCAAAAGGCAGTGGATGCAAAATCTTTAAACATTTTTAAAGCAGGGGTGGATAGACTCTTGATTATCTGGGGATGAAAGATTATCGGGGATATGCAGGAATGTAGAGATAAGGTTAAAATCAGTTCAGCCATGATCTTATTGAATGGCAGAATAGGTTCGAAGTGCTGAGTAGCCTACCATGTTCCTGTTATACCCCACTTAAAACAGGTCTTAATAGCACATTTTAATTTCTTTGCTCAACTGGTAAATTAGATATGTTCCCCAACTAACTTCCTCTATTCCAATTTTAGTGCAATTATTGAGCACGTTCAGATTCTTTTAACAATAACAAACTGCTGCTTTGCCAATTCCTTGCTGCCACCTCTGTCTGGCCCTCCTGCTCACCACTTTTCTTCCCAAGCTTCCTGCTTTCTGCTCCTTTTGGCCTAGCCATTATAAAGGCCACACTGTATCATAGGTTAAAGCTTTGGGAAGGGTCTTGTGGTGCAGTAATAGTGTCGCTACTTCTGGGCCAGAACTTCCAGGTTCAAGTCCCAGCTGCCCTGGCGGTGTGTCGTAACATGTACAAAAAGGTTGATTAATAGAAGTACAACTGAAGCTTTGGGAAATACACCTGAGCAGGCAGCCAGATTACAAAGTCCCACTTCCAACAATGTTGCACTCCTCAAATACTGCATTTAAGCATCAGCCCAGTTCAGGTGCTCAGGTACTGCAGTAGGGCTGTAAGCAAAGTCTGCTGACTCAGAAATAAGAGAGCTACCAGTGACTCAAAAATGTTTACAACTTACTTTTATGAAGGCCTCTAACAGTTATGTTAAAACATACACATCATTGTACAACAAAGATGCAAAATGCCATCCATATGTATGGCTAGACAAAACATATGACATTTGAAAGAATTTGGCAGGACAGATTTTCATTTGTCCTTCGGCAGTATCCTGGCCAATCCCAATTAATGTGGTTCTGCGCTAACAGTATGGATGAGGGATTGGTGAACACATGACAGTGGGTAAAACAAGAGGTATTGCTGCCATGTGCACAGTTAGTTCAAGTTTCATTTTAACTCTACTGGTGAGCTATCAGCACCTGTAAAACCACTAGAGGCAGCTCGTTGTGCTGAGGATTTCTAGTTTCAGTTGGCTACATTGTAGTATTGGTTCTCAGGTAGATCATTTGCAGAGTTGTAATGGGGAGAACAGAAAGTGTTAGTGGTGTGAGTAGCCAGTGATAGTCTAAAGTGCTGCAGGAGCTGGCTCCTAATCGCTTTATGTGAAGTTGCATTATTTAAAAAAATGCAAACTGGCCAACATTGTAAAAGCTTGAGAAGTGCAAGTCTTCACTTGTTCTGCTCAGTGCTGCCCAGTTCCTTGAAGGAATCAACATTTTCCATTTTAACAATCAGATCAGGGGATTATTATGGAGAACATGCTTATTGGCATATCATGTTAACTCCACCCAGTGCTCAAGTAAGTACAGCAAAGCACCATAACTTTAATTCCAAACGTTGCACACGTTCAAAAATTTACTATTGTAGTCAGCTTGGAGTATAAATCTGTTTGCACTGCATTCCATGGGGAGATTAGCTTCACAGTATTTAAAAGAAAAGTGGTCTATTCATCTATCAGGTATTCATTGAAAGTAAAGAGGAGGTACAAAGATTGTTGAAATAAAAGTATCAATTTATTGTTATTCAGCATTAATGCCAATGGTTCATTCTCTCACTTGATTTTACAGAGGCATAAACATAACTTGGCTTAGTCCATAAGACTGGGGAAAGGTCAGGATCAAGCTAAGACTACACTCCCACCTATTAGCAAGTTAAACAAATCAATATTCTGTTCAGTTATGGAAATATAGGAATCACCCATGATATTTTGTGATGCTTGAAACTGTGTAAATAGAATAGGACAGTAAATAGCAAGTATAAGCTCTGTGCATCATGCTTCAATTAAACGTCATCCAAGTCCACAGTCTCTGCAGCCAGCTTTAATGTTCATTCATGCCCTACAAATCCACAGCATCCAACTTCAATTCAGCCACCTGCTCTCATTATAGTGTCTGTCCTTCTTCAGTTATAAATTAAGTATCAGATCATCTTAAGATCAGTTAAATTGTGCAAAACTCTCAGGATCAAATTTTATTTGTGTGATGTACCTTATAAAAAAAAATGACCAGTACTTCACCCATCCACTTTTGGCTCCACTGCAAGCGGAGTTGCACATAAAGCATTAGGAAAGCCGGCAATCCATTTAGTCACCCACGACTAACAGGGAATGCATGGAGACAAGCAGCTGCCATGGAAGCAATGGATTCAAATGGGAAAACTGGGTTTGAATAAAGTCTCATTTATGAAAGGATTTGCAAAAAAGCTCTTGTGACTCTGTTACTTCATGCTTGTGATGTACAGTCAAATGGATAGCACAGAAATTAAATAAAGTCACAACATAAAACACAAGAAATCAACAATCTTCTAATTAACTTTGAATGCAATGAGCTGCTTTAAGGTCAGACACATTATTATAAAGCACTATTCCCTACAATCAAAATGTAACCTTTTATATGTATGCATGGACACTTTCAATGTTCTGGAATCATCATGTAGTCATAGCAGGAAGTTCAAGTGCATTCATCAAATTCAAGATGATAATTTTCAAGTGCAGCTTAAAATTGTAGATTTTCGGCTGCATAATCTTAAGACAGATAAACAAATTACAGCAGCACACAAGCAGAAACAAAACTACACTTCACTGAGCATTCATTATCACATGCTATCAAGCAGTTATGCAGCTCTGTAGCAGTGGCCAACCTTTGGTGTGTTAGGGCTCAGAAAGCATAAAATAACATGATGGTGAGTTAACGGACCATGGCATGATAGATGATGTTGCACAGTGGCTGTTTACAGCTCCATGTCTGTACAATCTGTAACGCCTAGTGCATTGTGCTCAACATGCCGTTTGCTAATATGAGATGATTCACACATTAGCTAGGCCACCATCTCCAGTATTCTAAAGTGAGCTCTCTATCTGTACGATTATGTATCTGAGCAATCACGAGAGGCAATAAAATAAATGTGGAAAGTGATACAATCTAATTATAATGCAAAATCATTTTACGGATCAGATGCTTTATTTATAATTCTGAATCAGGGAAGATCAATGAAGTTGAGGGGGAAGAGTTTGCCACGGCAGCAACATCAAAGTGATGAAAATGAACAGCAGAAACCAGTCAAAAAACAATATGGTTCAATTAGCTAAAAAGTACATACACTGAAAGTGATAGTCACTGAACTACAAATACCCTGAAAATTTTCAATTGCTAATCTTTTATAAAGTAAATGATCAGCTTGATGTCTACATAAACATAATGCAACATTTCAAGCAGTAATAGAGTTTAGAAGCCAACTTACATAAACCCTGAACGCTATACTGTCACTAACAAAACCACAATATCAAACATTAAAATAGATCAATTAATTCAGCAATCAGCCCTGATTTGCAATATTGTAGCAACTGCACTTAAATTTTACACAATGTCATTTGCAGACAACAAAAGCAGTTTTGCCTTCAATCTCCAAAAGAAATCACCATTCAATGAATCTTTTGAGAATCTGTTAGGTTCTAAAGATGTGTCTATTTAATACTCCGAACACACACTGAAGTCCATGGACTACTGCAACTATTCTGTCTGAAGCAGTTCAAAACAGAAAGAAAAATGAGGGGAAAATCAATGTCAATAATTTTAATCAGTATTCAAAAAATCCAGCACTAAGCTTCTGGTATCTTAGAAGGAGGAATACAAAATGCAAAGTTTTCATGAAAATTCACCTTTATGCAGGTAAAAATCAAATATTTAGTTTTTGTCTAGATATGTGAAGAGGAGTTAAGCTTTTATAATACTGCGAATATGATATAGTTAAGGTTACTTGACAGTACACACGGTAATAAAGCTAATACGCACGAAACGATGGTGGTGAATCTGATTTGCATCAAGTGGATGGTTTATTTTTGCTGCATAGCAGTATAGTGATAAGGGCCTCTGACTGAATTTGCCTGGTCAAAGAATCAAGAAGATGGTACTACTGTTGGGGTGTGAGTGACATTAAGAGAGGCAGAGACAGACCAGATTGACTGAGTCATACATGCAAAGAGACAGAGAATTGGATCGAGGAAAAATGCTTATTTTGAGATTATTTTATTTGATGGCCATTATTAAAACCAAGCTTAGAATTTTTTTTCTTTACTGCCTACTGCAAGGAAGTGTGGATAATTAAATAACTTTGTAATTATATATTTAATTTTTTCAAAATGGCCTTGATACAATCAAAGAGATACAATCATGCTTCATCAAAGGACAAAGTTACAGTAGGTAATATTTTTGTGTTTTGGATTTACTCAGAAATGAACATTTTTATGCAAAATTACAGTATGTGAACAGTAGCTCAGGCTACTTGTATTGTGTATAAATTCATGGGATTTGTTGTGGATGCTATGTAGCACCAAAACATCTGCCTCCCTGTTACATGATGATGGAACAATCTAGAGTCACAGAGATGTCTTGTGAATGGATAGGTAATATAAATTGGAAATTAAAATTTTGAGGGATACTAATATATAAACTAAAGCCTTTGTATGCAGTTTTCCCCACTCTGAAGGTGGTGAGAGAGGCAGCGAAAAGGGTAAATAATTCAGCAAGTTGGCCCTAGGCAGACATTTGACCATTTTTTGCTACTTCACCAATTTAAAGCTTAGCAAGAGCATCCATTGCGGACTTTCCTAAGTAACCTGCAATTAAGGCACATAAGTGGTTAATTAAGGGCCATCTAAGGGCCTCAGTTCACCCCCTTCTTTGTTATTTACCTTCCTACCAAGTGAAAAAAGTAGCTGGTTTCCCAAATGGGTAATAAGGTCAACCTGCCTGCTGGGTTGATGGGTGTGCTTCATTTACCCTAATCTTGGGCAATTAGAAACATGGATGGGTGCAAAGCCACACCCATGTCTTTGCCACTGAACCCCCTACTGTTCCCCACCCCGACCCCGATTCTCCTCCCATTCATAATCCTTACACCGTGAGAAGCAGAAGAAAAATACCTATCTACTCAGGGTTAGATCCCATCAAGCAGAGGCCTCAACTGATGGTTTTAAGTAACCAGAAGATACAGACTTCTGATTGGACAGCAGCGTCTTTTGAGCCAGGATGTCACAGCTGAGGCCTGACAATAGACTGAGAAGCTCTTAGCAAGCTGAATGGCATATAGTCTGGTGAGCTTTCTTGATAGTAGGGTGGCCAATTAATTGACACCTCATTTACCTACACAACACTTAGTCTGCAGAAGGGAAAAATGCTGCCTTAGCCTTCATGGTTATTGTACAGTGGTGCATTGAGTGCAGTTTTTTAATAGAAGCTGTTAGTCATGACAAGTGTAGCTTTTCAATTTCATAACCTAGTGAGATGACCAGACATTGCTGCTTAAGTAAAGGAAAGATGGTGCAATGGACAAATTGTACAAGAGAAGCAACAGTTTCTGGTAGAATGAAAGGAAACCAAATGATGAACGCGAATTCAGCATCCAGGGAGCACAGAATTGACAAGAAAAATGAACATTTCAATATTCATCATACATAGCAAAAAAAAATCTTGTTCCTGTTTCTATCCTTGTAGCCAGCTATATGAATCTTCTGAGGCCTAAAGGTTGTAAGTATAGGGCCGTTGATGCCTGATTAACTTTGCACCAGATTTTTTTTCATCTCCAGTTGATGTGGAAGAGAAAGTTATACATAATTTTAAATAAGCAATTCCTGATTTCCATTCACCGGTACTTTCCAGTTGATTAATTTTATTTTTAAACTCAAGGAGTTTGAGGATTAAACAATTTCATATCAGTTCTGCAAAGATTTGCTTACGTGGAATGCACATTATGACTAAGACACGATAAAGACCGAAATAGCTATTGAACTTTAAACTGCAAGCCTTACATGTAGGGCAGTATGGCACATTTACTGTTTTGACTAAACATTCACTCTTATATTTGCTTTAGCTTAAAGGAACTAAATTGTGTCTGAACTGCTTACCTTATGAATAAGGTCCCGTGCTGAATGAGACAAAAGGATACGATCACACCATGAGGGGCACCTTGTATTCATGTACTGCCTTCCCTGATTTGAGTCCTCACTGTATGGATAACTGGAAAAGAGAAGTCAGACTAAGTAATCCTTTCTTCAACAGGAAGAATCATAAGATTTGACATATTTTTGTTACCACTAGACTTGACTGCTTCCAGCCAAACTCTTACATTCTATCCTTTGTAAACTTGGGGTCACCCAGAACCTTGCTTTCCATGCACTAACTTGCACCAAGTTCCATTCACCCATCACACAGACATGCATCAGTTTCCAGTTATGTGGCACTTAGATTCATAAAGATGTATAGTACGGAAACAGGCCCTTTGGTCCAACTCATCCATGCCAACCAAATATCCTAAATTAATCTAGTCCCATCATAATCCCAGCATTTGGCCCATATCCCTCCAAACTCTTCATATTCATATACTCATCCAGATACCTTTTAAATGTAGTGATTGTACCCATCTCCACCACTTCCTTTGGCAGCTCGTTAGAACATAGAACATAGAACTGTACAGCACAGTACAGGCCCTTCGGCCCACGATGTTGTGCCGAACTTTTACCCTAAACCTAAGTTCTATCTAACCTCCACCCCTACCTTATACTATCATCCATATGCCTTTCTAATAGCCGCTTAAATGCCGCTAATGAGGCTGACTCCACTACCCTCTCCGGCAATGCATTCCACGCCCCTACCACTCTCTGAGTAAACAACCTACCTCTGATGTCTCTCTTATATCTACCTCCACTCACTTTAAAACTATGCCCCCTCATAATAGCTACCTCCACCCTTGGAAAAAGTCTCTGGCTGTCCACTCTATCTATACCTCTGATCATTTTGTACACCTCTATCAAGCCACTTCTCATCCTTCGTAGTTCTAAAGAGAAAAGCCCTCGCTCTCTCAACCTTTCCTCCTAAGACCTTCCCTCCATTCCAGGCAACATCCTGGTAAATCTCCTCTGCACCTTTTCCAACGCTTCCACATCTTTCGTTCTATACATGCATCACCCTCTGCATGAAAAAGTTACTCCTCAGGTCCTTTTGAAATCTTTCCCCTCTCACCTTAAACTTATGCCCTCTAGTTTTGGACTCTCCTTCCCAGGAAGAAAGATCTTCACTATTCAACCTATTCATGCCCCTCATGATTTTATAAACCTCTATAAGGTCACCCCTCAGCCTCCTATGCTCCAGCAAACAAAAGCCCCATCCTATTCAGCATCTCTCTATAACTCAAACCCTCCAGTTCCAGGAACACTCTTGTAAATCTTTTCTGCACCTTTCAAGTTTAACTACAATGTTCCTAGAGAAGGTGACCATAATTGTACACTGTATTCTAAAAGTGGCCTCACCAATGTCCTGTATAGCCGCAACATGATGTCCTAACTCCTATACTCAGTGCACCGGCCAATGAAGGCAAGTGTGCCAAATGCCTTTTTCACCACTCTGACTGGCTGCGATTCCACTTTCAAGAAATTGTACACCTTCAATTCCAAACCTCTTGGTGCTCTCACCTCTCCCTATCTCTGTAATCTTTTTCAGCCTAACAACACTCCAAGATACCTGTGCTTGTCTAACATTGACTCCCTGAGTGTCCCTGATTGTAATTCTGCAGTGCCTTCAGCTGCCAAGCTTCCAAACTCTGGAATTCCCTCCCTAAACCTCTGCAATTCTCTTATTCAATATCCTTCTCCAAGGTGCTCCTGAAAACCTGTCTCTTCAAGATCGATATTAATAGCTTATTATTTAATTTGATAACAGTCCTGTGAACCATCTCAGCATGTTTTACAACATTGAAAGTGAGATATATGATATATTTAGGTTGAATTTTATCAGCCTGAGACAGGAAGGCTGGCAAAATGGCACAGAAAGATGTGTGTTGTGTACCTGATCAGGATTGACAAAGTGCTGCCATTAACAGTATTGACAAATAGAGGGCAAGCAACATTTCCATTAGCATGGCTGGAGGTTGTTGTACTTGGCTTTGGTACATCAACCACTGACCGCTTGTGATTGGGGTAGTTTGCTACCATTAACTGAATCTCAATGCGAAGAGGGTCTTATCTTAAAAGTTTATTGCATGATAGCAATTAAGCACAAGTTACATTATTGATAATAACAGTGTTACCAACATTATAAGGAGACCTGTGGATATAAGTCTACAGTCCTAAGATGCTTTGCCTTATTCCCACCCAAGCTCGTACGTCATATTCAATTGAGTGAAGCTTAAGACAGTCTCTAACGTTAATCCTTACAGAACTAATATGGCTTACATCTTCCTGTCAGCTTTTTCCCCTTTGTTTATACATCTATGTATCCATGTTTATAATTAGATTTATCACTACCCCATTCTCCCTAGCTTTTTGCTAGGCCTCCTTGATGCCACATTCAATTGAATGTAGTCTTGGTGTCACAGCTATCGCTCTGACCTCACCTCTGGAATTCAGCTGTTTTGTCCATTTTTGAACCAATGCTGTAACGAGGTCAGGAGCTGAGTGGCCCTGGCAGAACCCAAACTGGGTGTCACTGAGCAGGTTATTGCTGAGCAGGCGCTGCTTGATAGCACTGTTGATGACACTTTCCATCACTTTACTGATGATTGAGAGTAGACTGATGGGGCGGTAATTGACTGAGTTGGATTTGTCCTGCTTTTTGTGTACAGGTCACATGTGGGCAATTTTACAAATTGTTGAGCAATGTTGTAACTGTACTGGAACAGATTGGTTAGGGGAGTGGCAAGTTCTGGAGCACAGGTCTTCAATTCTATTTCTGGAATATTTTCAGGGCCCATACGCTTTGCAGTATCCAGTGCACCTAACTATTTCTTGATATCACACGGAGTGAATTGAATAGGCTGAAGACTGGTATCTGTAATGCTGGGGACCACCGGAGGAGGCTGAGATGGATCATCCATTCGGCACCTCTGGCTGAAGATTA